TGAAAAAAATTAACCAATTAGCGGGCAGAGTTTAGGAGGCGCGACCTGATATTTACAACAAGTCGCATCGTCGTGACCACGAAGAATGTGTTGTGTTTACAGTTTAGAAAAAAAATGTCAGACCGAAAATGCACATAAAAACAATATAAAAGCATTCTTTTATTGGTACAGTAATACAATTTGCTGTGCACTACAGCTAAACAACAGGTACTGTACGTATTATATGTTAAATGTTAACTTTTTTCGTAGGCTAGTCATACCGAATTCACTGGACTAGCCTATCTATGCTGCTGCTAAGCCTATTTTTAGCGTCTAGGGCTAGGCCCTAACTGGCCTGCCTTATTCGGAAAGGATTTAATAGAAATGTTCCACAAACCGATCTTTCCGGAAAACCGAACATCGTAGCGAACATCGTATTGTGAGAGTGCACTGTACACACAAATAGATTCCTGTATTTATATTTCGTGGCATAATTTCCCATACAGAGACAACAGAAAGATTTTTCTGTATCTGTCAGTGTTACTTCATCGGGGGGGGGGGGGGGGAGCATGATAGCATGTCAAAAATATTGTATTTGGGCCTTCCGAAGTTGGCAAGATAGTGGCTAGTGAAAGGGATTGAGGACCAGTAAAAATATTAATTTACTGGTCCACTTGGCTAGTTAAAAAAAACCTTAAGGGAAACCCCTGTTGAAAATGTCGGCTTCATGAAAATGTACTTTTTTACACAGTAGGTGTCCATATGACTAACCATGATTTGCAAATGTCACTGTGTTTAAGCAACACAATTATTTTTTTTTCACCTGATGATGAATGTATTTAATCATATGAATTAAGAGATTTCGTATTGCGCCCTCTTATGCATAAATAATATTTAAGCCTTGAGGTGATGATAGTTCCAAGAAAATAGTTATTGTATAGCTCAATGTTTTTTTGTAACTGAAATTTTAACAGATCTCACAATTTATATACCTGTAATAAAATTTATCTTGTAGAAAAGAGGATGAATGGGAAGCTTATTTTCGTCGGGAAATCAATCGACACAACAAGGAACAGCAGCTTACATTCCACAAGGTCGAATGCTTATTCCATGCCACACTTATGAACATACAGTAGTCAAAAGTTGATAAAAGTGTTCCAAATCTGAAAAAGTAGAGGGGTACACTAACAACATATAATTTCAGCTTTACAGTGTTTTTGCATTTTATTATTTAGGCCTATTTTCTGTGCTGCCTATTGTATTAACTCTACAAAGCAGCAATGTATAGTTTTGCTAGTGCTACCTATATTTTCTACGCTTATGAAAATGTAAGGGGCACTGCAGCGATATGTATAATCTTTTTATTGATACATGTAATTTTCTTGACCAGGCTTCTCTGAAATATCACATGAGCATATATAAAAATATTTGTCACCTGTTTTTTTTTTTTGTAGGCCCACCTCCTCTGTCTTCTAGCCCTTGGACAGTATTGCAATAGTGTATGCAGCAACAGGACACTGCAGGCTCTATGTATGTCAGTCATTCCAAATAAATTTACTGAATCTGGAGAGTTTGATTTTGCATTCCTTAATAGATTTGTCCGTTGGTGAGTGATAATTATTTCATCAATTTTTTTTTATCGTAAAATGCACTACTGTACCATTATCATAGTTACCGATATTTTAGTAAAAACTGTATCCTAATATGTCATGCACTTGAATTGGTAGTCTCATGAGTCCCAAGTCTCTTGAAAGTTGAGGGAGTTTCCCGGAAATTAGGAAAGCCCCCACACTCCCGCAAACAAGAATTTCCTGGGAAATAACCCATCACTAGTCAATTCACACTATTTGTGGTCAGGTTCACACGAGAGCCCTAGTATTCGGATAGTTAGCTAACTGTTAGCACCCGTGTGAGAACACCTGATCGATTAGCGCTAACCGTTACCAGGATCTGGATACGCTAACGGTTAGCGAGCGCTATGGGTTAACAAGTTGAACTAGTTTCTATCATTAACCAATCATATGTACATATTCCCAATTTCCTATTGGCCAGTGATCCAATCATAATCTTCTTGGTATCTGGATCAGGGATTTTCTTGTGTGAACGCACAGGTGAGCGCGTATATTTGTAATCCCGATCCTGCTGACCGGTAGCAGCCGTGTGTGAACGTAGCCTCAATGTTTTTACTACATTATCAATTGTCTTCAGGTTAAGTCAGTTCTGATGGGTATCACCTTTCACAGAAAAATAAAATTGTGTTAAGAAGGCTCAATTAATTAAACATGGGGACTTTGTTGCTTTTTGAGGCTTCAAAAGGCAATATGAATATGAATGAAATGAATTGACTTCTTCCAACTTGGGACCCCTGAAGTCTACCACTAGGCTCATGTTGCATTGTAAGGACGCGGTCGTCGGCCGACACAATTCTATGACAAACGCAACACGATGATGCATGCGAAATGGATCGTTTCAAACGACGATCCGTTCACATTACCACTGACAATCAGCAGAGAGTGTTGTGTCGTTTAGCGCTCACAAGGACCGGGATTGGATTCGTTGTGCGACCTTTGTGCTGTAGGATGCAGCAAGTGCTCGGCTTAAAATTTACTCCCACCTACTCTTTTTTTGTTGGCTTGGATTGGATTGGATTATAATGTAAAAAATTTTTCTACTAAGTTCCATTTTGTATTATAATTCTCTTTTGTAATTTATTTTTGTCTGTAGTATAAATGAATTGTACAGAAAAAAGTTTAATACTTGCTTAGATTTATATATGACATGTCTTTAATTAATTTGTAGGTTCCAGTCTCTCTTTAAAATAATGTCTACAACCAAGGAGGACAACTACAAGAACTTTGATGAAGTACTATGTAGTCGGTTTGAGAAGTTTGAAGCAGCAAATGAAACAGAATTTGTCCATGTATGCAAAAGCGTTTTTCCCTTTTGAATGAGAAGAGTGATTTTTTATTTTTTAATATATTTATTTGGGACCTATAGACGAATCCAAGATAACTTTTTGAACGTCGCCCTCTTTTTTCGACGCCATTACTGGGATGGCATTTCCGAAGTTGGAAGATGTTTAAATACACAAAATATACCTAACTTTGATAAATTTTTAGTATGAATACTGACGGCTTTACTCAGCTGCAAAATAAAAAGCCGGATTTCTCAATAGTACCACAACGCATTGACATTTAGTAGTAGGCCTAGGTGTAGGGACGACTTCCGGACTCCCCAGTAATGGTGTCGACAACAGAGGGCGCCATACTTCTTGGATTCGTCTATGCTATCTTGATGGGTATATTTTATCAACTGGGTGTTTGGTTTTGAGTTCTGTTTAAAATGAAGTTAATTGTTTGTTATATTTGATGGCTGTACTGTATATGAAAAAGACAAAAGCATGTAGCGATGTGGTGAATATTGTAGAGCAGAGGTTGCAAGCATGGTGATGCAATAGTGATAGGTGGGTACAGGAGTGCTTAAACTCCCATTGGGCAGGCCAACACCTCTGGGCCCCTTCTCATTTCCCCTCCCTCAAAAGCTTGTACCACAGCCCTAGTGGCGGTGCCAGCAGTTGGATTAAATTCCCCCGGTGGACAGAGCTTGTCCAGCGGATGTTTCCGAACATCCAGAGGATCCTATTTCTAAAAAATCTCATTTAGAAGGGGGAACCCCTCTCAAACCCTTCTCCCAGCTGGGGGTTACGAGCTCAAGTTACCCTGTCTTACAGCTTAGTCCCCATGTGTATAAGAGACAGTATGTACATATTCCCAATTTCCTATTGGCCAGTGATCCAATCATAATCTTCTTGGTATCTGGATCAGGGATTTTCTTGTGTGAACGCACAGGTGAGCGCGTATATTTGTAATCACTTAACATCACGCATTCTAGATACTGTATGCCACTGTATATTTAATTGCCAATTGTACAATTATCTGCAACATTATGGAAACTGCTCCAGGAAGTTGAGTATGTGCGCTAATTGTTTATATTAGGGGTATATATCGTCACCGTATTTTCAAAGAGATACAAATTTCAATTTCGACCAAAACAATGTTTTGAGAAAAACATGTTTGAAGATTCACAAATCCGTACATTTCACTATCAAGATTTCGAAATATTGAATATTTTTTCACATATGTTTAAAGATAAAGCATTAAACGATTCAAATTTTCAATTTATTTTATTTTTCTTAACTTCAACTAACCTGTTAATTAACGTCAAATTTTTGTGTCTGTTCGTAAAAACAATATTCTATATACCCAGTATAGGTTGTTTACACATACAGCAAAGTTTGCGTCTCTTTGTGAAAACGAAAATCTCATTTTATGCTCTGTATGCTCTCCGTTGTCAGACACAAACTTTGTTTTCACCTACTGTATGTTTTACCATTGTAGTCAAGATTGATTATAGGCCTACAAACTAGGTTTATCCTGCTAAAGCCATTGTGGTTACTAATGATTCTACACTTGATGCATATGTATAGGCCTATTCCAGGTTATACTGCATGTAGGGTACTGCTATGCCTAGGAAGTTAGGGAATATAATTCTTACATCTAGCCCTACCCCAGCCAGGCTTCATTAACCTGATCACAACAATAGCAACGCTGCACTAGCATCTCCTGGTACCCCATTGGAAGTTTGTGTCTGTTCATGAAAACGAAAAAATCTATTTTTCTTGGTTTGTGCCCTATGGCTAATTAGCCTAATTAGCTAAATCGTGTAGTAGCAATTAGGTGAAAAGGTAAAATTTAATGTACTCAATCAAAACATCAAAGGAAAAAAAAATTGAAAAAATATGAGTTTTGAAGTATGTGTCTTTTCATGGTATCGGTGGGGATTTTATTGTGGAACCCATTTGTTAATGATAATATTTTAAATTTTTGTCCTTTCTTCTGTAGATATTTGCAAGTTTGTTACGGTGTCTTCAACTCAATGTTAGAGTGGTTTTCTCTCTGCAACCTGTTCCCATAAAAACGGAAAATGTTATCAAGGTTAGAAAAATGTGTTTTTTAGATTGCTATTCTATAGTAAACATTGATGTTTATATTTCTTAGAAAAACCTACAGTACAACTAGCCAGTGTTTCCAATTTTTTATACCATTATCTATGTACTTATACAGTAACAACGGCTGCTATGGTCATTGTGTGGTTTTTATAATTCTCATAATGAATCACATTGTCAACACCTTTATTAAACTTTTTTTTAGAAGGTAAAGCAGAAGTCATCTAAAGATGAGGCAAAGTCAAAACCTTCAAAAGCAAAACAACCTGCTGCTACCAAGCATACTAAAAAGGTGAACAATAGATGTAAGCTAAAAATAGAAAATGCAGATCTAGCAAATGGAGCATTACTGCCATCCAGACAGCTGAGAACAAAAAATGAGTCAAGAAGGACAAGCGCTTCCAAGGTTGTTAGTAAAGATGGTGGTTCCACAGATGTCATTGTCCTATCAGAGGACAATGACTCTGAACGTGACTTAAAGGTCAACAATGACAGAGATTCTGATGAAAATTGGACGTTTGTGAAGAGTGGATGCTCAACATCTATGGATTCAGACAGTGATTTTGAACCTGAAGTCACAAACACTTCCAGAGGTCCAAAACTCAGTGCGAAGAAGAAGTCTATATTGTCAAAGAAGGGAGTTTTGTTTAATTCTGAAAAGAGTGTTGAGGTCATTGGTGAAAAAAAGAAAACATTTCAAAGTGGTAGGTCACTGTGTTTGTATCACCTGCATTTTATAGCTTGAGTTGAAGAACCATAGTTTTAATTTAGAATAAGACACGTCCTGCCAGGTTTGTTGACAATCAGTCATGTGACATAGTGGGTATAACTATTTAGAATTTACAGTGTGATCAGTGTCAAAGTATAGAAAAAGATAATGTTATGGTTGCGAAAACAACCACCCACTCTTAACGTGAGAAAAAAATGGCAAGGAAAGGCACTACGATTGTTCAGAATAGTGTTTATTTACTTAATATTCTAGCATTCTCTTTGCTTTTTATGCTTTGGAATTTATGTGATCCTTTGTAGACCTTTGCTACCCTAGAAATCGTAGCTTGTCAAAAATAAAGTTTGCTGATTGAAGTCTTGGAGCATGAACAAAATTATTAAGTTCATTTCCAATCAATTTGTTATAGTTTACTGCCATCCAACATTATGCAACATCAAGTATGTGCTTTACTGCAGAAACACTCCGAAGTACCCACGCATTTTCATATTACCGAGCGTCGCTGGCCCTATCTGTTTACAATTTATACCCAATATACGTCATGTGACCTACCTAGCAGAATATGTATAGTATATTTTTATTTCAGCTGTGTATGGACCCAAAATTGTCTCTGCTGCAATTATACTTTGTTTTAATATCCACAGGATCTGATGTATGGGTTGAGGTTTTCCTTGAGTCAAACAAAAAGTGGGTTTGTATAGATTGCATGAGAAGTATTTTGAACTGTCCGGGAAAGTGTGAAAAATATGCAACTCAGCCGTTGGTTTATGTCCTGGCATTCTCTAAAGGTAAACCTGATGCTCGCTTTTTTGTTACGACCTGTCTTGTTTCCATACACTGTCACCAGAGCAGTTACAGTTCATCCTCCAATTCGAGACCACTGTGGGAACTGAAAATTTAGGGTGGTCTCGGGGTTTGGTCTCTGCTTAGAGGGTTATCTGTTTGTTAAAAGATTGATAGGTTATTGAGGGTTCCTGAATTAGAGAGTGCACTGTTTCTTAAAATCCATTCTGATGATGGTCAGTGTGGTGCGACAAGTTTGGTTTCCTATTTTGGAAGACTAATATCACATGATAATCAGGTTTAAAACACCTGCTAACTTTGCCTACACTAACTCCCACATTCACCCCTAAATACTTCACAGCATTTCTTCAAATATACAGTATTGGTTTATTGCAATTTTAATGAGAACTATTTTTAAATTTGAAGATGGAAGCATCAAAGATTTAACCCAGAAATATGCATCCAAGTGGACACACACCATGAAGCTACGGATTGACTACATTGAACCAAAATGGTGGCAAGCGACCCTTAAACCATTCAGAACAAAAGATAAGAAACAGGAAGAAACAGAAGATCGTCAGTTACAAGGTAAACTTATTCCTGTATCATACGCCTAGACCCAGAACATTTATATTCTTTACTTTTTTGAGAAAGTGGGAAAAATAAAGTATGTCATTATTACGTCGGAATGTGACTCAATAAAATACTGTAGTCAGATATATAGAGTACTACAGAGATACTGCTCCGTTGCTAATGTTGCAAATTGTGTTCAACTGGAAGCCATTTTCTCCACTGACAAACCATTGATCCCACTTTCTAACGTAATTATTAAGATGTTGTATCTTAGTTTTTCTTTGTAAATTTTAATTGATGATATAAATGTATGTGTGATAACTAATATAATGCAAGCTTTGTGTTTTTAGTACATTTTGATGGTAAAATATTAGATTTTAAAATGCCTATTCCAGAAAGCCTATGAAGTCATTCAAGCGTAATGAACGGTATCCAACGTCTGGTTGGTGACATGGCACCACCTGGCATTGTGACCACACGATTGTGATACCCTATATGTATCAACTTTAATAAACAAGCTAACCAACTATGAGACAATAGTTACTAAGATGGATGACTAGCCCTCTATAATTCAAGCTGCTTAGGCGTCGTTACCCAGACATGAATTATACCACATGAATTATACCACAGTCATGACAATGTTTTATTCTAATCTTTATTTTTTATTGAATTCTAGAAAGCTTGTTGAATAAACCAATGCCCACTTCCATCAATGATTTTAAAAACCATCCGTTGTAAGTATAAAGTATATATTTATAATAATTTTTATTGTTGCTTTGAATGTCTTTATGATATCAAGATTATTACAGTACCTGCATAACTGTTCAAAATCTATGATGTGAATCATATGACATGACTTGTAACCATTTTATGAAATTATACAATATCAACAACCCATGACATCATTATGACATAATTGTATGTTGTTGTGTTTGGCTACAGTATAATGTCTGTATTACCACAAGCATTAATATATAATGTTTGTATTGTTTCTCAAAACCATTAATTTACATATCTAATCACCTTATCTTTCCTTGTTTGAAGGTATGCACTAAAGAGACACCTGTTAAAATTTCAGGCGATTTACCCAGAGTCAGCAACCATCCTTGGGTATTGCCGAGGGGAAGCTGTCTACTCGCGGGATTGTGTCCATGAGGTAAGATTTATGTTTGCTATGTTCCCGGAAGGGCAAGGGACACCCACTTGGGGACCTCTGGAACCCCCCATTTGTACAGTTCAAACATGCCTTGCTAAGCTGTCAAATTTTAGGGATTAACTGTTTAGTGTGAGCAGTGCTATTGTATGTGTGAGTTGCAGTGGTGGCGCCAGCTGTTTCCCGACAGGGTGCTGGTACCTCCGACACGGGTTAGTACCCCAACAGGGAGACTAGTACCCCTGACGTGGGACTCTTAACTTGCATGGTTTTCTATCAAATTATCGTTTTTAAATTTTTAATAAAAAAATTCCCAGACAAATTAAAATTTTCCCCGACCCGGGGAGGTGGCTACAGTGTAAACCCCCTTGTCGGGGAGCTTGGACCCCTCGTCGGGGAATTCCTTGTGGTGTCCCTGTTTACTGGTCTTTCTGTAATCATAAATCACATACAAGTTGGATTGTCCATGCGACTGATACTCTTTTAACAGACTGTTTTTTTAGGTATCCCATGTGCCAAAACAAGTGTACATGTATAAACATACTTTTTTTAAATGTTATCAAGTTATGTATCATCAAAATGGTGTGTCTGATAAATTATATGTTCAGATGTCTTATACAGTCTTTTTCATTGCCGGCAAGTTAACACAACAAACAAACATACGTACTGTACGTTATTTGTATGTTAAGTCTCTGGTTTTGCAGTGTATAACAATGAAGTAAAAAATGCTAGAATGTTACCCCGGTTTTGACAAGTATAGTCATGCTAGCTCCCTCGGGAACACCATATGGGACGAGTATACTCATCGCTGGCAGCAAACGTGTTAAACTAGCACTTGATTCCCACAAGACAAAATGTTATGTGGGGCGTGTGATAAAAAATGCTACATGGACTCCTTAGGATTTTCTTTTTTAGCGCCTCGTTAACTATCGGTAGATTGGAAGACAGGCTGATAAGATACTTAAGAAAAAGTGTGTAAAGTGAATGCACAAAGACTTTCTACTTCGTCTGTTTCTTCTTTAAGCTTCATGCAAAAGAGGCATGGATGAAGCAGGCAAGAGTTGTACGCATTGGAGAGGAACCTTATAAAATAGTGAAAGCTAGACCAAAACTGGTAAGTAGGTTTACTCTAGTTTTAAATACATTTTTTGTCACAATAATCATAAATAAAAAAGTACACAAAACAATTGTGCTTTCATATGTTTTAGAAGGTTTGGTCATTACTATCTATATATTCAAATGTTATTTTATAATGATAACATAGATATTTTTAGCATTGTAGTTAAGTGATGTACAGTAGTAAACAGATTTGTTTAAAGTCTTTGCACACAAGCCGGAAAAAGGTCAAACATACCATGAATTAATGAAAAATTAGTGCACGGTTTGGGATAGGAAAATGTTATTGTTACGGGTGACAAATAGTATACTGTTATAAATTTATAGTACAGTATTTATCTGGTTATTGTATTTTGTTTGGTTTTGAACAGCGTCAGAAAAAGACAGGTGAAAGTCCACCACCGTTGCCAATCTACGGTTACTGGCAGACAGAAGAGTATATGGCAATGCCAGCAGTTGACGGTAAGATTCCACGTAACGAACATGGCAATGTGGAGCTGTATAAACCTTGTATGTTACCAGCAGGAACTGTGCACATTCAGAGTAAGAATTGCAATATTAATTTTATATTTGTTTGTGATTTAAGAATTCAAAGTAGAGAAGTGGGACTTTTTTTTTTTGTAGACAACATTAGATCCACCTTAGTTGGGTGCTGAGGTACAACATTTTATGGATATGCACCTGGCCAGAAATGGCCCTCCCAGAATAAAATGTAAATAGTTTTTTTTTTCTCCACTTGATTAAATATTTTTTTAAAAGTTTAAAATGGGAGGGGGAAACTGCTCCCACCCCTTGAATTTGTCTATGTTCATATTATTATTACCACTACAGTAACATCTCCCAATTACGAACCTCCCATTTGAGGCATGTTGTGGCAAAATGGTTAAGTTGTCGCACAGGCCAGTATTGAGTAAATGAGCTTTAATATATAGGAGCTCAAAAAGTTGCCTAAAAATCCAATTTTTTTTTCACTACAAATAAACAGTTTAATGTATTATTAATCATGTCCCAAAGTATTAGTTCTGGAAGTGGTCAACAAATTGTTTATTTAATGTTATTTAGATAGTTAATTCTATTAAACAATGTATGCACAAATAACTTTGGAAGGCAATTACTCAAAAT